ATGTTTCAAGCATAGACGCACACAAATGCAAGAAAATAACACAACTAGCAAACATGACAAATATGGCAAAGTAAAGCAAGAAATAATAGGGTTTAGGAACGCAAATCTAATTATGATGCCGGAGCTTCCTAGGTCTTCCTTATTTGCATGGGTTGCCTCCCAAGAAGCGCTTGCTTTAACGTCTTCCAGCCGGACGATGCCTCCCTTTAAACTCCCCTAGGTCCCACGGCATGGATTTGATCTTTGAATGGGAGGTGATACTTGAAATGATCCGGTAATGGTTTAAATTCTAGAGTGGGTGCCTGAATCATTAACAACATATTAGTATAAAACAAAATTGAAATTTGAGTAGGTGGCTTACCTGTTTGCTCCGACAAGAACTTAAGGACAAGCACTACTTCTTTGAAAGTTTCTAGAATGTTGGACTTGGCCAGATTTAGTGGGAGGGTTGTGACTTGTCCTGTATCATAAAATGCAACTTCTTTGGGGTTGGTTGTGCCAAGTACATCCTCTTTGATGAATTCTTGGTGTTCCCCATCCACTTCTTTCTCTTGAATCCTTCTTCTTCGTGTACAATTCGCTTCAGGGAATTCAACATAATCTGGAACTTGTTTTGGTGTACCAAGAAGTGGGATATCACTTTGCACCTTGGGAAGGGCTTTCCCGATGTCTTTTTCACTCTCTTCTTCCTTGGGAATAAAAAACCTGCGAGGAAAAGGGACATCTAATGGAATGGGGTAAGAAGTAATTGAATTTGGAACCACCTTAGCTGAGTTGGACAACATAGGGACTCTGGGAGGCTACGACAAGGGTTGTTCTACCCTTGCTGTGGGTGTGTCTTCTTCCTCCTCAATTAGTAGATGTTCGTCCTCCTCTTGGCTTTATTTTGACTCCCTTGGTTCAGCTCCAACCTCCATGGCACTGCCCAAAGTGATGGCTTCATAATTTCAAAATCTTCCATTGAATTTACAATGTTTGCGTTGGAGAATTCACTTTGTTCTTAAATTTGTGCCATGAACTCCACAATCTGCCTAACTTGCTTCTCTAATTCATCCATCTTTTTGGCTTGATTTTGCATCCTCTTGGTTTGATTTTCTTGCCCCTGAGACAAATTGGTGAGTAACTTAAGAAGTGTATCATTATCCAAGGACGTACCTGAAGTTGTTTGGGAGGATTGTGGGGGAGGTTGTGGTGGTGCATATGGCGTTGTATAGAACCCTTCATATAGCTGCCAATATTCTCCTTGTTGAGCCTCCTTGGCTTGATTTTGTGAGCACTGCGCCAAAGAAATTAATTCCTCAAGAATTTGATTATAATCGATTGATGAACCTGAGTTTGGTTGGGCATATTGTATATGAGGTTGTGGTGGCTGCACATGACTTGAATAGAACTCCTCATATGGCTGCCAATATCCTTCGTGTTGAACTTGTTGAGATTCCCACCACATAGAGTTTGAATGATCACTCCAATCTCTTTGTGAACGTTGATTTGCTTGATATTCTTGCCTATAAGACAAACCAAATGTAGGGACACTTTGCCTTGTGGTCCTTTCGGCATACTGCAACAATTGAGAAGTAAAATTCGCTATTTAAGCTTGAATGTTAGCAATTGCCATATCTTGCTTCTCTAGTACCTAAAATCAAAGAAAGAAAACTAAATCACATATCAAAAGTAAAAGACACGAACAGAAACAAAGGGAGATTAGCAATTTTGCTAATCCCCGGCAACGGCGCCAAAATTTGATGTGAAAATTAAGTTGACACACAAATTAAACCCTATTGATGACAATTGTAGTAATGATGCAAGTAGGGATCGTTCTAGACCGGGGATTAACTAGGGATGCCAATCAACAAATATAAGATTCAAAAAACACTAAACCAGACTCTATAAACTCAAACTAACTTAAAACACTCAAAACAGCAAATAACAATAAAAAAAGACTCAATTCTAGACCTAACAATTGATTTGGATGAAAATAGAACTTCAAAGACTCAAAAGACTTAAAGGAAACAAGTTTTGACTCTAAAAACAAGACTTAAAACCAAGGGGTTTGGTTTTGACGAAATTGAACTTTTAAAACATAAACTTTGTAAAAAAACCTAAAGACTCACGAAATTGATGAAATGGAATGGTGAAAGGCTAGTTAGAGGGTTCCTTCTCCACACATGAAACATATGCATACGACTCGATTTCCAGTTACTCTTTCAACAAACCATGAATGACAATGCATCAAATTAACTAGATTGCACCAATTAATTCTCAGATTTCCCTAGATTCATTGAATTGAATGGAATACGCATTACAACCAAATTTTTCTTATCAAGGACCCTAACTATGGAATACGCATGATAGAGACACATATCAAAGATCATTAAGGTCAATGGAAATCATAAGCATTGACGAGGCATTCATAACTATGGAATACGCATGTTACTCTTGCTAAGGATTTACTTAACACAATCGTGACTAGCGACTTTTACTACTTATGAATTTAAGTTAATAACGATTAGGTGAAATTCCCTTATACTCTAGCATCAAATTCATGCATGCAAACTAAGTGTCGACCCTCAATCAACATACATAAACATGTTATCAATCAAATAGATAAGTAAACCACATTTACGATTTATGAAATCATAACTGGAGGAAATCAAGTCATATAAAACATATGATCATGGCTTTGAATTCCCCTCTAACTATAAAGAAATTAGTTCCTCATGTTCGCAAATAAACAAAGATAAATAAATTTAAACATTGACATAAAGATAGAAAACACCTAGAAACGCTCCAACAATCCAAGCTCCTTGAATGGCATGCACGGCTCCAAGAGTCTCCTTCCTTCTCCTTTGCAAACTCACGGCACAAGAGGGATGTTTGGGTGAATGGTGTAGTGAAAATATGGTAGAGGGTGGTCACTAAATGGTGCAGCAAAGGATGGTATTTATAGGCTGAAATTCGCAGCCCCTATGTAGCAAAGGAAAAGGATTTAAAGGCCTAATTTGTATAGGATAATAACACACAATCCTTGAAGGAAAAGGCTAAGGCTTTTAGAAACCAAGGGGGAAAGGAATAATTAGGTTTCTAGAAGTTCTAGAAAGGTTTGGGCGTCACTTTTGTAGGACAAGGGATAAGGCCTTATAGAAAGGTTGTTTTGTGGCTGATTTCTAGAAAAACAAGGGATAAGGTGTGGCACCTTTGTAGGAAGGGATAAGGCTTCTAGAAATCAGGTTTTAAGTCTCCAAATAGGAAAAGAAATCCTTTTGTAGCTGAAATATAGGTAGATTAGGATTAGGATAAGATAAGATAGGATAAGGTTATGGATAATGTTTTGGATAAGGTTTCTTCACTTGAGCTGATTCTTTGGCTTTTAACTTTCCTTCTTCAAGTAGGAAACCTTGTTTGAGTAGGAATCTTCAATCTTCTAGAAATCCAACTTCAACTAGGAATCATTCTTCAACTAGGAATCCATTGTTGACTAGGATTTCATCTTCAATTAGGCACTTTCCTACTTCAATTAGGAAACTTTGCATCTTCAATTCTTCAACTTTGCAACACATTCCTAGCTTCTTCAATCCTTCAAATTCGTCCATTCTTTGTGCTCCACATGCATGAGCTCCATTCTAGCTCAATTTTGCTCCAAAATGCTCCAAATTGCATCTTTTTGCTTACTTTGTCCTTAAAACCTGAAAACACATGAAAATAGCTTAAAAGACTAACTTAACTAAGAAAACACAACATAAATGCATAAGAACTAGCTAACTAAGGCGCATAAATATGCTTCTATCAGGCGTTCGACCCTCTACTTCATTTTCATGCATATCAAATAGAGCAAGAAAGAAGTACTTCAAAGTAAAGAAGAGCTTATGCTCTTTTACAACGTTTGATCAAAACAAATTACTTTAAACTAAAGAAGAGCTTACGCTCTTTTACATTATTTGATCATATCAAATTACAACCAAAATCTAATCTACACATTCCCATGGTTCAAACAAATTTGAGATGGCCTTTCACATAGCTCAATTATTGTAGGCTTAGGTTCATAATCACCCATTCTTTAATTAATTAACGCTTTAACTAATTAAACTTGAATGCAACATTTTCATTTGGTTTTTGTTTCCATAGAATTGATTTAAATGGAGCTAAATGAAATGAAAATCCAATTCTCATTTAAAGATACAAAACTATTTTGTTCTCAACTAATTTGGGCCGAAAAGCAATAACCTCAACCATTCGGCTATATTGCAAAACATAAACTTTTGAGGTCCCTTTGTAAAAACACAAAAGTCCACTACTTCCTGTAATTACAACTAGAACCCAAAAATTTCAACAAAGGCAAAACTTCATTAAAGGAGCAAAACAATTTGTCCTTTAGTGATTTTGGGCCTTTACGTAAAAACATAAACTTTCGGGTCAAAGTACAAATACACAAAAGTATCAAAACTTTATGTAATTGCATAAAAGCCCCAAAAGTACCCTATTTAATAGGGTGGCCGGTTTTGGATGAGAGATGGTGTCATAAACTTTTGAATTTTTCAACAAAAGTGAAAGGTGATGGGTAGGTTTGAAAAAGTAATTTTCATAAAACATGGTTCCTTGAAACAAGGAAAAGATGTAAGTGATTGGTATGGTGTTGATTGAAAAAGGACAAATCATGTCATACCATTTATTACAACAAAGTCACACCAACCACCATAAACAAAACTTTATGAAAAACATCAAACACTTTGAATCAAAACACCAAACCTTTTTTGTTTTTGGTTAGAACATAACAAGAACAATGAAGAACATCCATGAAAACCCATGAGAGCTCCATGACCATTTTTCACCCAAAGACACCCCAAAAACTCTCAAACTTAAGGGAAAAAACATATTACCATACTAGGGTACTTAGGGGTTCCTAATGTCACTTTAAAACACTTTTAACAAGAAAAACTGTTGGAGATATGCCCTGAAAGTCAATCTTTGGAAGAAACCTTTCAGGACAATGTCTGTATCTATAAATGACTCTAATACAGCAAAAGGCACAGTCACTCATTGGGACTATCTCAATTAGGGGTGGGCAAACGGGTAGAGGAACCGCGGGTCGGGGCGGGTAATGTAGGTTCGGGGCGGGTACGGGCCGGTTCCAAATGTTGTAGAAAATAAACGGGGCGGGGCGGGGCGGGGCGGGTCCATGTCATTTACGGGGCGGGCCGGGTCCTAAACCCTAGAAAAACGGGGCCCCGGACCGACCCGTTTCTAATTATAATCAACGGTCGAGATTGAATGATACCCTATCATCCAATCTTAACCGTTAATTTCTAACCTAGTTCCCGAGCCCCATAATCAGTCTCACACTCTCACTGTCACTCTCACTCCCAGTCTCCCACCACCTCTCCACCATCTGTCACTCCCTCTCCCTCGACTGCCTCGACTCCGACGACGTCCCAAAGAACCCAGCCCATCATCGCCGTCGCGACCATCATCACCTCATCACCGACGACATCCCAGGACCCAGAACCGCGATTCTCTCGTCTTTGACAACACCAGCGCCGTCGACGACACTGCTACCGTAAGTCTACTTCTCCAAAAATTGAAAAGCGAGGTCAGCTGGTTGGGATTGGGTCCATTGGGATTGGGATTTCAATATGAGTAGGCAATTTTGAATTTAATTGGAATTTGGATCAAGAACTGAGTTTGCAGATTTGGGTTTTCTTTTCTTCTAGTTTTTGTTAAGGTTTCGTGTTAATTGATGCTTAAACCTGCCAAATCTAAACCTCTGATGTTAATTGATGCTTAAACCTGCCAAATCTAAACCTATTTCCCAAATTTTGCATTATTTCTTGTGCTAATTGTTATCTGGGATGTATTGGGGTTTTTTTTGTTGATGGTAGACAATTTTGAATTTAATTGGAATTTGGATCAAGAAAAAGAACTGTGTGCGTTTTTCAGATTTGGGGGTTTTTTTTTCTTCTAGTTTTGATTCAAGTAGTCTCCCTGCGTTTTTCAGACTTATGGCCATCGTTTTGATTTAAGTAGTCTCCCTGCGTTTTGATTTCATGGAAATTCCTTTTCTCAGCTTTTACTCTGTATCCACATTGTGCAGACGTTTTTGGTGTGGCAGCTGAGTTTTTCTGCCCTTCTCTTGGGGAGAACAAACACACTCAATCAGATTGTTCATTCGGTCCAAGCAACTTCTCCTTACTGCCCTTCTCTTGGGTGTCAAAGAATGTGAGCATTTGATTATGGTATAGTTGGATTTATGAACTGTTGTTTGATTATAGTGTAGTCGGATTTATGAGTGACTGTGAATCTGCAGGGGCTGGGATTTATGAGCATTTGATTATAGTGTAGTCGGATTTATGAGTGACTGTGAATCTGCAGGGGCTGGGAATGTGCAAATGTGAATGAGTGAATCTACTAGGGCTAGGACAGAATTTGAATCTGTGCAAATGTGAATGAGTGAAGCAGGAGGTATATGCCATTTTCATGTTTAATTCCAGAAATTAAAGTGCAATTCTAGTTATCATTTTCTGGTTTAGTAAGCTATTTTCATGTGTGTATGTGTGTATGTGCGTGTGTGTGTGTATGTTCTCTGTGTGTGTGTGTGTGTGTGTATGTGTGTGTGTTTTGTTTTACTTATATGTGCAGTTTTTATATATGTGCAGTTTTGATTTATACATGTGCAGTTTTGATTTATAATGTGCAGTTTTGATATATGTGCAGTTTGGTTTTATATAGATCGAGCATACATTCTTTGAGGAGCAAGACTGAGCTAACTATTATGTGGATTTCATTTTTAGATGTTGGAGGACGATGTAATATTGTTATTTTGGATGTATTGTTAAAACTTTAGCCGACCCCACTTAGTGGGAAAAGGCTTTGTTGTTGTTGTTGGATGTATTGTTAAAACTTAATTTATGAACTTGGATATTAGACTTTGTATTTAGATTAGATGTGAATAATGGTGAATTTGTGCAAAATCTGCATAAATGCAGTGTCACTGTGATTGTGCAGTTGCAAATTGCAATCTGTGCAGTTTGCAAACTGTGCAGTTTTCAAACTGTGCAGTGCAGTTAAAAAAAAAAAAAAAAAAGGGTACCCGTGGACCCGGCCCGAACCGGCCCGTTTTAACCGGGCCGGGTAATGTCCGGTTCCTATACAAGAAAATCCAATCCCCGCCCCGTCCCGGCCCGTTTCGGGTAATGTCAGGTTCCTACAAACTTAGGTTCGGCCCGGCTCGGCCCGGCCCGTGCCCAGCCCTAATCTCAATAAACGATATACGTCCTAAATAGTGTATCCATGGACAATGGATTGATGGAAGAAGTAATCTAATGATGTTAGATTGCAGAGACCTTCTTCACATAATCATAATGTCCAAAAGGTTCCTGGTCATAGGAGTGTCAGAGGGATACTGACAATACATAAACCAGTACATACTATGTCCCCTTCCAATGGGAAGGATGGAAAGTCTCATGCCATTCATGTAGTGACACTAATGTTGGAAGTATGCCCACAAAGCCACTCATTTGATGTAATAGCTTTTGGAATACTTATTGTATTAAACTATTATATGTTTAATGAAGGGCAAAGTTTATTGTTAATCATTATTTATTGTATCATGTGTTTAAGCAATAAGGGAATCCAAGGAATGTATTTGATCTAAGAGAGAAGTGATTTAAGTAAGTTAGATTAACGAGACCTTTCTCTTATGTTCATTCCTAAAACGTTCCTAGCCATAGGATTGCCAATTGGGCATTGACAATCCGCTAAGGTTAGTATGTGTTATGTCAACTCAAGCGTGAGTATGACTAGTCTCAAGTCATTTAGTGTTGGACACTAAGACAAACACATAGGTGCTTGAAAGAGTAATCGAGTACACTGAACAACGATCAAAAGAGAGTTCGAACATACATGTCATGTAAGAACTCGTTAGTTGCAATATGCAAAGAAGTCCTTTGACCTGAGGCATCATAGATGTCTAATGGTTAATTCCTTAATCTTTGATCATGTCAAAGGCATTCCATCGAGAGTGTCCACGGCATTGTTGGGGTCAACCTATCTAGTCATGTAGGCATATGAATGCACAACAAGGGATCTCTAACCTTCCATGGTGGAAGGAGAATACTCTAAGATATGATTCGGGAGTCTTTGGCCAAAGCATACGAATATGACTTAGGAAGTATGTTCCAAATCATATTCAATTGAATCATATAGAGAAGTATCACATTGGATAGTGGACATGATACAAATTATCACTCAAACAATGTGATTAAGAGTATTGTATTAGAGAAGGACCGTATTGCATTGTAATTGTAACTGGATAGGTTCTCCAACCAATTATATTTAGCTTGGGTAGCCATGACATGCTGCTAGGTGTCACTCATGGCTTGTGGAAGCCCTGAAGATTAGCAAACACTAATCATAATCAAAGGGAGAATTGAAATGTAGTTTCAATTCACAATCGATCGTTAAGAGTAACAATCGCCCACTGCCTCGCTGATTGGAACCTAATGGATCGTACACCGAGTAAGGGTGAAAGTGAAGAAATATAAATGAGATGGATAAGCGATTAAATGGTTTAATTGAGAATGGTCAAGATTAATTAATTAGTTAATTAATTTTACGAAAGGTTCGTATTGGGCTTTTAAGTTGGTTTTGGGTTTCGGGGCCCAAAAGTGTTTTGGTCCACAAGGCCCATTATGTTTAAGTTGTATGACAACTAAAACAAAATGGGTAATAAGCCCAATCACTTAAAAGAGGCCGGCCATAGTGAGGGGAGTGTGAAGTTTTGCTTAATTGCAAGTTTGCCACTCACCTAAGAAAAGAGATATAAAAGCATCTTTATAGCTTTTTCTCATTAGGGTTTCTTGAGACAAAAGATGAGAAACACTTTCTCTCTTTTTCTCCAATAGAGGCTGGCCACTTAGAGAGGAGATAGTTAGCAATCTTTTCTTCTCTAAGTCATCCATTTCATCTTCACACCTCATGCTTGGTGTGGAGACTTAGAGACACCAAATCTTTGGTGTTTTTGGAGATCCTTTCCTCACATCCTCAAGGAGCAAAGGAGCATCAAAAGGAAGAAAATCACAAGGAAGATCCAAGGAGCTAGGAGGTGACTTGAAGGCCCTCCACTTGGGTGAATCCTTTGTGTAAACAAGGATGAGCTTCAAGGGTAATGAATCTCTAAAACCTTCTTTCTCTTTAATGTTCTTAAAGAGTCTTGTGGTTCACCATTCACTAGGCTTTGAATGTCATGGGTTTTAGAATTGTTTTTGAATGCATGCCTACTTTAATGTGTTAATAGTTTGCATATGTGTTCAAACATTCTCACATGTTCTTAGCTAGGACAAAAATTTTCCTTCAACTAAGACAAGTATGTAGTTGCTCATTAAGGGAAAAAGTTCATTGAACACAATCAAACGAGAGTACTTGAATGGAGGTCTACTCACATGTCAAGCAAGTAACTCTACTAGTTGGAATAATGTAAGTAATCCTTTGACTTGAGACATTATAGTTGTCTCGGGGATACGTTGCTGATCATTTGATAATGAGACATGACCACATCTCATCTTGGATGTGTTCTATGCATTGTTGGGGTCAGTGGTTTATTCTTAGAGGCATTTGAATGATCGACAAGGGATCTCTAATCATCGTTATGAGAGGATGAATACTTAGATATGATTCGGGAATCTTCAGCTGAAGTATCGAGTGTAATGATGGAAAGCGTTCCCATACGACTCAATAGAATCATATAACTTGATATAATCACATTAGGGGTTTGACATTAAGTATCCATATCCTAGTAATGTGATTTTGAGTATTGTATTAGAGAAGGATCGAATTACATTATAATTACAACTGAATAGGTTCTTCGAACAAATTCTACATTAGCTTGGGTAGCCATGATATATGGTTAGATGTCACTCATGGTTTGTGAGTTGTTCTAGATGATTAAATAAGTATTCATCAAGGAAGAAGGAGAATTAAAAGTAAGCTTTAATTCACTAAGTGATTGGATAAATACTAATCAATTGGATTGATACCAATCACCTCACTGCCTTGCTAATTAGAACCTAAATGATTGTACACCGAAACACTCTTGTGGTGAGACAACTAAAGGATGATGGAATTAATTAAATGTTATGATTAATTAGAAAGTCTAAAGAAATCATAAAACGACTAAAGATCGTTTTGGGCTTAAAGAAAAGTTCAGGTTCATTCATGCCCATCGGGCCCAAACCCATTGGGCTTTTATTCAAGCATATGATGACTTGAAATGATAAAAGCCCAAAGCCCAAACAACACAAAGTAGGCCAGCCAAGGATAAGCATAGAGAGAGAGAGAGAGAGAGAGAGAGAGAGAGAGAGAGAGAGAGAGTCAAAAATTGTGACTTACTTCTTTTACATATATAAAGGAAGTTTAATGAAAATGTTTCATTAGGGTTTTTGTGTGTTCTTTTCAACTAGAGAAAAAAAAAAGTCTCTCTCTCTCTACACACAATATAGCCGGCCACCATAAGGGAGAAATAGCTAATCATATTTTCTCCTTTTTGGTTATTCCAACATCCATCTCACTACACTAGTGGGTGTGGATCTTTAGAGGTCTTCTACTTTGGAGACTAGAGGAGAATCAAAGGAGCTCTAAATCTATCAAGGTGGAGGAACCAAGGAGGGAGGCTAGACTCGAGGAGTTCTAAGAACAAAGATCTTGGAGGTGGTCCATCCTTGGTCTCAAGTCTAGATCAAGAGGTATAAAACTATACCTTCACTTTGTTCTTTAATTTTTGTTAGATGCATCATATATGAACCTATGCTTCTTGAAGGGGATTTGCATGACTATAGCTTTGATAATATGTGATAATATGCTTCCATTGTTTTTGTATATAAATTTTGATTTGTATATGCAAGCTAGTCACTAGAAATCCCTCATAAATCTCATAATTTCCCTTCATGTGGTATAAGAGCCAAAGGTTTATATTTGATGTGTCCTTTTGGATTTTATGCATATGGGTTTTGATTTTATGTTTGACATATTATTTCTTCATTCAAAATATGTTTATCTTTTTGGTTTTCAAAGTGTTGAAAAATGTGTTTCAAGAGTTGAAAAAGATATGTATGCAAAAGTGTTTTGGATGCATGAATGAAGAGTGAGTTTTTGAACAAAATTTTGGGCTTTTGTACCATAGGGTAGGGCACGGTTCTTGGGGGGGTTTTTGGCTTGTGTTTGTGTTTTATTTTAAGTTACACACACACACTTTGAAGCTAGAAAGTAAAGGCCTTGTCACTTTTGTTTTTTTTTTTTTTTTTGGTTTGAAAAAGTCACCAAGAAAGTGCAAATCTTGAAATTGTTTTCATGGTTTTGTTCTTGGTGTTCATGGTGTTCATGGTTTTATTCTTGTGTTCATACTTTGCTTTTTGAATTTGGGTGATAAAATTTCCATCAAAAGCTTTCCTTAGATTTACTCTTCTCTAGACTTGGCTAGATGACCATACCCTAACCATAAAGTACAAATGGTGACAAGGAAAAGTATGGGCTTCTACTTTATTTTGAAATAAAGGGAACAAGTTTGACATTGTCCCTCTCCCCATCACTCAACCGGCCATCCCTAATGATGAGTCCTTTATGGGCTCTTTTGCAATTTTAAAAAGTTGATTATACTTTCTACTATTTGCGGTTTGACTTGTAACTTTCTATATTTGCATTTTGGCCCCACCTCTCTAAGAGGTCTAAATACTTTGATTTTTTTCTTTTTTGTAGTTTAAACTCATCATACAATTATGCCCATATGTATTAAATCTAATTGACTATGTTGCATTCCAATTAATTTATTCAATGTGATTAAGTAGTTAGAAAATGGTCGACTATGGACTTGTGCCTTAAACAATAATTGAGCTATGAGAAAGGCTGCTAAATTCAAATTGTTTGAACCTTGGGAATGTGTTTTAATTGCTAT